CAGTAGTGTTATAATAATATTTCAAAGTAGTGCTACAATCAGAGGGTCCATTGTTGAAATAAAAAGTCAACATTAATTACCTGGTTCTGTTTGCTCCTTAGTTTAGGAGATGCCACAAGAGATTTCAAAGGACTGTTAGTGAAGAAAGCCTCAACTGGTGACTGTATTGTTAATGGCGATGAAAATCCACTACCTGATTGATCCAACTTCTGGTTTTCTGAAACATTTACTGTTATGAAAATCAAATGAGACTCTTAGTGAATTGCATTCCTTTAAGTTGTTCTGTTTAAAAATCAAAAAGGACTAATTTAATTTTTACTATTATCCAACAAAAAATCAAAATGTTTTACAAATAATGTCAATAATTTTTGAAACAATGTTGGCCCAACATTAGATACTATGATCAACCAATGTTGGGCAACTAACAGTTGTACCTTAGGACAATGTTAAAATGCTAACGTAGAAAGACATTATTTTAATTTCTTTCTACATTAGCTAATCACAGCACTAGCACATAGCTGATAATAATATTATACTTAACCTTTTCTGCACAAAATGTCATTAAATGACTCTTCCGTCAGGCTACCAGAGTTCAACTCAGTCAGGACAGACTCGATCAAATATTTGAAAGTGAATTGATTTTCAACATCCATACCGGTGATCTGGTTTATAAATACGGCCACATTCTCACACTGTGTTGCTCCATAAAGCAAAAGTGTGATCATCTGTTAATTGAAAGAAAATAGAAATTAATATTGAAAACGTTTATGAGAAGACAGTGTGCACTAGACACAGCAAACACAGTCTTTTAATTTACTTTACTGTCTTTAACCCTCAGTAAGGAGTGTAAGGAAAAATGTGCTCAACAAGAAATGGAAACTAAGACTTCACTAATGGCCAGACACCTTGAGCACTTATATATTGTATATTCAGGTAGCCTGCGAAGCGCAGACGTATTTCCGGTTGTCACTTCTCTCCCCCCAAGAATTAGCTATTTTCGGAGGGAGAGAAGCGATGACCAGATATACGTCTGCGCTTCGCAGGCTAATATTCAGGGTGCTAATTGAAAAAAATTTAGAGTAGGCAGCTGCTATGAAGCATAGCCAACCATGTTAATAAAGTTTGAGAGCTATGAGCTGACTTTTATTGAAGTAGCCAAGGATATACATATATATTTTTTTTTTTTTGGGGGGGGGGGACGTTGTTGTGATTTGAACAATAAAACTGAGGAGTTATTAGGTATGGGAAATAAATCATTCACAATGGGTAAAAGCGAGAAAATAAATGGAAAATTTAATACACACCTTTCCTATCTCTAACTCATCCCTTTTCTCTAGATTTTCAGCATCTACAACGGTGGTAATGTCAAATTGATGGAAGCCTAAAGAACAATAAAACTAAATTTGAAAATTCACTATAAACATTATTAAAAATTATTATAATATCATCATTATATTAATGTGAAATAAATACTGTTATTAATAATATTAATATTACTGTTGTATTAGGGCACAGTCAGATTGTGTGTTGAAAGCTTGTAATAAATTAGCCAGATAATGATGAATTAAAGAATATTATAAATGTAAAATTCAATTGTTTTTACGCAAAAGAATAATCAAGCTGGGGGTGGGAGGGTCAGAGGGGTACGGAAGGTGGGAGTTCTTTAAGAGCAAAAGGTGGAAGAAATAGGGGGAAATTAAGCAACAGTGCTTAATATTTGGCAATTGCAAAAAGGCCAGGGGAGGAAGCCAAGAAAAAAGGGACAGGAGCCGGAAATACAAGGCATACAAGTTGGAGGTAGGAAGCTTGGGCCCCCTGTCTCCTAACCCATTTGTTTGTGTCTGTAAAAGTGCCCCACTGGTTATGGGCCCCAAACACTTACCAGCTACAGTACACGAACACACATGTTGAACAGAACCTAAAAGCGAATGCAATGAGCTTCCTCACCTCCAAGATAAGAGATGATGAGGGACAGAACTTGTTCAACGTCAAATACATCGCTGTCACTTGGCAAATCTTTTGCTGTTTCTTTGTCACTAGAAGGTTTTATCAAAAAGTCATTTACTTAGGCTTAATTAGCATGTACGGGGGTATAAGACTATAAAGAGGGCTGGCTGTCTTTCAAATATAAACAGCAAATTGTAGTGGCGCAGTGAGAATGATCATGTTTATCCGTGCTTACATTAAATGAAGAATGTCCAGCAGCAGACTTTTAGCGCCGTCGTCTGTGATTTTCCCAACTTTTTTACCATCACTTGAAGCATTTGAGTTGATCTGCAACATATGGGAAAGAATTTGATGATCTGAAGCAGATGCCTTCCTCTCAATTTAACAAAACAAGTAAGCTTTGACTGTAAATTTTCGCTTCGATCGACGTAAAAAGGTTAAATAAATTGCAGTGATTCGAAGCCTTGAAGAAATCGAAGATCGCATGGCGCCGCACTTACCCAGTCAAGTAGAAATCTAGAGTTAGCTGGATTCATTTTGTAACCCCAAAAGTTCGAAAGCTATCTCCACACAGCATTAAATCCTTTTCATCAAAAAACAGACTGAAGATCGATGTATCTACAGTAGCACCGAATGTACAGCGTATTTGGCGGTTGATTTTGAATTAAGAAGCCTGTCCCACAAGCCTCAACGGTCTGAACTCGCCTTGTAACCAAGCCTGTAGGATAGGATTTCCTCCAAGGGTTTTGCAAGATTGTTTTATTAATTTATTGAGCAATTTTTGACTCGTTTATTAGACGTGATTGAAGGAGATAACCCAAACACTTGTGAGAAACTTATCTCAGACAATTTTAGCGGGAATGGGCTGTTGTTTCAGTAGCGAGGATGAACCAGACGGTCAAGTAAGTTTGATGTTCCTTGCGTTTTCACAGTGTCATGTGACTGTCATCGTAATTTTCAGTGCTCTGATTTTTTGGTTCCTTGGAAGCTATTTGTGATTATCAATGGTATTCTTCCATGTTTTTTTCCCTTCAATCCTAGAGACTGCTCTCAAGCCAGCACACTTTCAAGCAAAATTGTTCCCACATAAATAAATAAAAACGGTACTTCGATCACATGTATGATATTTTTCGTTGTTCCGAAAGTCCGCACATGGTGATTAAAGCTCATTTGGTCAGATTGTTGTTGATACAGACAAATCATTCCGTTTTCTGTTGTGGCTATTTTTTTTTTCGGGAACAAAGAGAACTCTTAAGATTAATTAACTGGACTAAATAACAAAAACTTTCAAGAGGTTAATGTACATGGCTACGTGTGAAGACAGGAAACTGTGCTGTGATCCTACAGGTCACAAACGAGCAACATTCTTTTGCAGCAGAATCGAAAATAAAACTTTGATACTTGCTTGCATGTTTTCTAGCCTAGATTGAGTTCCATGTTTAATGCAGATTTGCACAGGTATACAAATGATTTCATCACATTCTTTATCATGCACAATTCAAACAGAGCAGTCTAGAGGCTGGGACCCCTTATGACCAACATGGAGATCAAAGTGTCAGTCAGCTTCTTCAAAAAAAATAAAAGAAATTAATGTTTAATGAATGTCTTTATATCTGATAAAGACATGGCTAAACTTTACGTCCACTTTTTTAGACCAAACTATCCCCAAATCTAAGTACATGTATTAGTGCAAGATTTTGAAGTTGTTCAAAAAACTTGCAGTCATGTATTATAAGTGTAAAAACTCTCGGGTTCACCTTGAGTTTTTAAACCTGATAATACCACCCTGCTTGTTTTTTAAACAAAGCATAAATCATTCCATTCCCATATAAAAGCATAATAATAAATAATTTATTTAAATAATTATTATTTCCTTTTTCTCCTATGAATAATAAGGGGATGAAGTCAAGAGAAATTCTGAATCAAAATACATGTAGATTAAATACTGGATTAACCTGAGATTGGATTTTACCTCAACCAGCTGCACAAAAGACTTGTTTTTAGGCCTGGTATTAAACAGTCAGAGAGGGCAAATGTTTGAAAGCATGTGAAAATCATGCTTGTTTTCTTGTTCATTCTTTAAATCCTGGCTGGACAAGTGGGACTAGCCTATGCACAAAGAAATTCCTATTGAGCCTTAAACTGCCTGATCACAAGTTATATGTCATTAAATGATTCCCTGAGTGTCAATCAAACTGCATAGCATGCATAATTTGACCAATCATAGCCAAACTACTTGGTTTGATCAATACACGTACTTAGCAAGTTTGGGAAGCAATTTGTGCCAGAGATTCTTCTACTTACCTGCCCAGAATATTGTAGAGCGAACAAGAAACCTCAACACACAGGGTACAAGAATTCAGAATCATGCTTTCCATTTTTTTCAAATTTGTCTCCTAGCCTAGTTCCCTAAGCATTGACTAATATTTTTCCTTTCCAACCATCTATTTTGGTTTCTATGAAAATTCACAGAAAGGGTTATTTGGAGTCCTATGAATAGTGAAAAAAAAACAGTGCAACTAAAATTGAACAGTTATCTCAACACACTATATCTGGAAACACTCCTAAACAATACTCATGGCAGTCTAGCACAAACTGTGTCTATCAACAGAGTTCTGTTTCAAACTGGCTAAAAAAAATGTTTAGAAAATTGTTTGGTGGTCATTGTAAGGTATGTGTGACAGTAAAGTGTAATTTTTGTAATTCTTTTAGGTTGAGATTGCTTGTTTTCAACTTTTAGAGGTCCTTTTCATCCTTCCATGTACATCTACAGAACTAAGACTTGAAAGTGCTTTATATTACTTACTTCGTACTCTTGGTCAATGCCTAGAAGATGACAGGAAGAAAACTGACTCCATAAGGCTCAATCTCTCATACAACTTTCTAGATCTGTAACATTCTCCAGACCCACATCCCTTAGCAGTCATGTTTATATATGTAGTTGTCAGACTTCCTCTTTTAGCTTTCCAATGTGTAGTCACCCATCTTATCAGCTGTTGCACTGGAGACTCTTCATGATGAAAAACATGTATTAATGTGCATGTTTTCATCTACAGAGGCAAGCGAGTGAAAGAGATCCTCTGTTGGGAGGATCATCAGCACCAATAGCTAATGGACAAAGACCTGTGTAAGTTGATTTAGTTTTTTCTATGAGATTTAGGAACAGGGCTGTCACTAAAATCTTCTCCCTGGCTACTTAGAGCGTTACCCTAGGCTACTTTCACAGAAAACAAAAAGAAAATAAACCAAAAGAGCACCCTTGCTGTTCATTCCCCCATCTACCAGTAGCATACACCTGACAACTTGAAATCTTAGTTACAGCCCTAAAAAAAATACACGAAGAAAATAAAATAATATGTTAACCTGTTGATCAGTCCATAGTTGGTGTACCTGCTTGACTTGTTGGCAAAACATCAGGGCTCAAAATAATGGCCAGGCAATGGACAATGTCCGGCCAATGTGACCAATAATCGGGACAAACTTTCTGTTGGCTGGTCATTTTGACCGGGAAATAAAATTATTCACATTAGTTCTGAACGTAAAAAAACAGTTCAATCATAAAATATTTTAGCTGCTTGTAGTTATAGATTCAGAGAATACATATGCAACAGTCTCATTCTGCAGCTCTGTGAATGCCAATTAGCAGTTTTCTCAACATTTTGACCAGTCACAAACGAGGCATGACCTTGCTAAAACTTGTTTGGCCAGTCAACATGACTGGACACTGCCCAAAATGATTTTGAGCCCGGAAACGTGTATTTATTTTATATCTGTAGATCGTTATAAATTTTTGGCATATTACTGATTATAATGATGATGTTGCCAGTAAACAAATTTGACTGTCTTAATAATAATAATATTATTATCTAATGTTGATGTTGCTGTACTGTATTTGCTTTGCAGAGACGATATTCATAATTCCAGCACAGGCCCTATATCAAAGACAGATGAACAGGCTCTACTCAGTAGAATACTTCATCAGACAGCACAGTATGTTACCAGACTGAACACTAAAATTTACCACCTAGGGAAAATAATGTTTGAACTTTTGGAATTGACCAAAGTTTTTGAAAACAAAGTCAAATTCCCAACCTCTGAACAATGAATCTGTTGTACTTTTTGTTGCATGATCGAATTGGGATGACTCTCAGTTGTGTGTGAGAAAATTAAATTCAGGTTAAAATGGTTTCATCCTAAGTTGATTCTCAATTTGCTTTATCTCCTTTTTTATTTATGATCATAGATTGTCAGGGCTAGGAAAATTGACTTAGGCTGAAACCATTTTAACCTGTGAACTTTTTTTTTAACCTACAACAAATCCACATCAAGTTACTCTCCTCAGAGTGCTCTTTATTCTATTTTTGTTACTCAAAGAATTAGAAAACTGAAGAAGGCTAAAATCCCTGACAAGGGGACAAGGAAATATAAAAAATAGTATCATGTTACAAAAACAAAACTTGCAAACAACAGCTGTTGCAAATTCTAAGTTGCAATGTACACAATTGTCCTTCGTTCTTTTTCAATACAGCGACGTTATAGATGTGTCTTCAATTGAACCTCACAGTATAGAAAGAACAGAGTATATGGAAAGATCAAGACAATACATGTAAGTTTTGGATAGTCGCAGTTTGGACATCATCAAGTCAATTTTAGGTTTGCTTAGATGTCCTGTTTCCCTTATCCTCCAAGTAATACTGGTAAATATCATTGATTTCTTAGGGCCAAGCTATCAGGTGTTAATAATTCCAATATTCAAAGCGCTACTGAACTTCCAGCTGGAGTTAAGGTCCCACAGTTAGTTCTTGCAAGTGAACCTGTTCCACAATCAGATGTAGCCTTTGTAAGTATTGTTATGGTCTGTACAGTATCTAAACATACCTGTTATAGGAATGAATGGTATTGATTCCCAGAAATGAAGCAGCTCTTCAGCCATATGTGTTGCATCACTAAGCATTATTCTGACCTTCTCTTCATGTTGTTGTTTGTTTTCTGTTTTCAAATAATTGATGGGTCTTTTGAGCAACAAATCTGATCTTCTTAGCAAGGGGCACTTAGCTTATTTTCCTGCTAAAATATACCTAATAACAAGAAAACAAAGAGCATCTCAAAATATCTTAACTGTAACTGAAACCAGTTCATCCTAAACAAACCTCACGATTGTATATCATGGTCTCCGACTGAAATTACCTTTTAAGTATTGTTCTTGAAAAACAAGAATGGAATCAATGACTTTACTTTGTACTGACGCTTTTAGTGCACTGGTGCGTGGACTGAAAAGGAGACAAAACTTTTGAAAGGTCACTTGCTGTTTTCAGTTAGGTTTTCATTGCCAAGATATTCAGTTATAGACAGTGTGCCAAAAGGAACTGTCCATGAAGCAGAGTTGACAATATACCGTAAAATTCCGAAAATAAGCAGCCCCTGGGGCTTATATTTTTCAAAGGCACTTTTTGAGGGGCTTATCTACGGAGTGAAATTTGCTTTTCAAAATCGATTGGGCTAGCCTTATAGTTAAAACGAAATTTACCCTTTTTGCGTTCTTTTGAATTTGAGGGCAATTTCCAAATACAGGCCCGGGGGGGGGGCTTATATTTGGAGGGGCGATTTAACGGAGGGTTTTTTGCGTCACATGTTTGGGGGCTTATATTTGAAGGGGCTTATTTTTGGAATTTTACGGTATGATAGTTTGTGACTAGGGATGCAGAAAAGTGTCCATTGTCCATATTAACCAGTGTTTGTGTCCATAAAGTGCTCAGGGTTCCACTGTATTCGCTCAGTGTGACTGTTGTGAATGAATTCTCATTTTTAGGTGATAAGAGCTGCAAAAGAAGCAGATGCATCTCTATCCGGCTTCCATGTTGAACCCAGAGATGCACTGGTGGTAGAGTTTGAATCATCATAGTCTAAATCCTAAGGAGTAGCTGATATTCAAATATTTATTAAAATTCCAACTATATAATGCATTCCATGCTAGTAATGAAAATGAGTTTCACAGTGAACTTTCTACCATGGAAATGGTGACCAGTGAAAGTTAAGAGAAGGGGGAAACTTCTTTGTTCTTGTTTTCCCCACTTCCTTAATTTTTTGAAGGCGGATGGATTCGAAAGATAGATTTAAAGGGGCTGTGTCACGAAATTTATCGAAATTCAAACAGTGAAATCTGTCACTAAATTGAGTGAAATATAAAGATAACTGCTCAAAGCATTAAAGGAAGGTATAAGCAAGACAGCAAACACAAAAGTAGGCGCGGATGAACAAACTTGAAGAAGATTGAAACGGATTGCAATTGTGGTTTTGAAAACTTTTTTCCTGACAGTTTTTTCAAGTTCTTTTTTGTTGTTTTTAACGTTTGATATAATGCTTGGGTGACAATTTGTTTGACACGAAACTGTGGTTTTGTCATTCACAAGTAATTTCTCAAGTTCCTTGGTGAGCAAGGATGTGTAATTGGCGTCATAAACAAAATGAAATAATAAGACGTGACACAGCCCCCTTTAGTGAAGAGGCACAATCAAGAGCCATAGCTCTTGCTTCACCAAAGTCTGCAAGCTTTAGCTAGTCTAGTCTGAAATGTCATGTGTCTCCACCCCCTAACCCGTGGGGGTGGGGGGAGAGAGACCGCGCCCCCTACCGGTGAGGGGGTAGAGACGTATGACATTTCAGACTATAGCCGGTCAAAAATACCCGCCCGTGTCACCGTTCAAAATTTTTGAAAGTGATCCTTAAGTATCATACGTGCAATGTGGTAAACATTTGTGTACATCTTCGGTAATGAAATTACGTAAAGGAATGTCTCAAAGTAATTTTTTTAATTAAACTTAAAAAGAGAAGAAAAAAAAAAGAGAAATGAAAGATGGTCAATGAGCCGTTCGACTTAAGATACTTTACGAGAGTCTTAGGTGTAAGCTAGTGTAGATGATAATTTGAATGCGAAAGAAAAAATTACAGAAAAAACCACTAGATTAGGGGCCTGTGGTTCTTCTGGAAAGCCTTTTTCCCAGGGTTCTCCTACGTTCAGGATGGCAAGACTGAGCTGGAATTTCACATGCAGGGCTGCTAAAATGGTGCTCGAATTTTGAAGTATTTTGGTTACAACATCGCTGGAAAGATTTCCTTATTTTGCTCGAAACAATAGTTTTTCTATGAAAAAAGGAACATTTCTTGTCCCTTGAAATTAGCTTTCTGAATAGGCCCTCTGTTTGGAAATAACAGGAGGAAAGCCCATACTAAGCGACCCGAGGGGAGATAGGGGGTAAGAACCCCCTTTTTCTCCCGGTCTATGTCCCCCCCCCCCCCCTTGACATTCGCTTTCTAAATAGGCCCTCTGTTTGAAAAAAACAGGAGACAACACCATACTAAGCGCCCCGGGGGGGGATAGGGGGTAAGAACCCCCTTTTTCTCCCGGTCTATGTCCCCCCCCCCCTCCCTTACCCCTCCCCTTTCCCCTCCCCTTTCCTTTTGAGCTTTATTTCGTCGTGTCTCCTAACAAATAACTCACTTAAAAGTAACGTCGGTTCTCTATCGGCGTCAGGTGACAAAATTCTCGGAAATTTTGGGAATATGCGGTAGGCCTTGTACAGCGGTTTCGTCACATCAACGGTGGATACTTCTTATATGATTCTCATCACCATCCTAACGCGGAGAAGGGACTGGGAAGGAGGTTTTTATTTCACCTTGCAAGGTCAAATATTTAATTGAGAAAAAAATCGCGGACGTAATTGTGGTCTAGAACCTAATACCAACTGAGATTGCGTTGAATCCTGGACATGGAAATGCTGGGCGTAATGAGGCGTAGATGACACTTGTAGGTTTTGTTTAAACTCTTGCCATTCAGGTTACTCTAGTAGAGTATATAAATGACATCAGTATTTGTATTGCCTTTCAAAGATTATTTGTAATAAAAATGACGAGATGAATGCTTCTCAGTTGTTAAAAATCCTTCATTTTGTACGTCAAAATGAACTATTAAAATACTGGATAAAAGAATGGGCGAAATTAAACGAAGCGGGCTTAAAAAAGTCTTCTTCTATGTTAAGCCAAGTTTTGTTGCGTGTTTCTGTTTGTCTGATTTGCAGAGGAAACAAATAGTGGATTGAAGTCTGGGAATTCACAAGAAAATCTTCTTTTCCTTTTTGTCCTTCTTTCATCCCGGAAATGCGTACATGACTAATGCGTTTCCTGTAGTTATTTCGCGCAAGTGGACTGCAAATAAGAGTCACGAGTGGTTATACAGTATAGAGACGAATGAAAAAGTTTCATCCTTCCCCCTTATTTAATTCCATTCCCTCAGTATCCCTGTATCCAATTTTTTTTTTTGTGAAAGTTGTGTTGATGCTCGAAAGCACTCGAAAGCAAAAAACCTTACTACCACTTAAATTTTATTTATGATTTTGCGGCACATGCATATGCACATGTATATCGTGACAGCTCATTTTTTTGCAAAAGTGGGCAAATTTCTGTTATATACGGGGCGACACTTTTAGGTGAATTGGATATTTTATTGCAAATGGATACATTTTGCTAGAAAACCCAGTGAATGTTGCCGGCAAATAATGACACCGAAAATACAAAAATTCTCGTTTCCATTATTCTTCAACGACAATGACATCATAACTAACACTTTGAGCAGATGAGAAGTTTATGATCCAAAATTTGGCAAAAGCCTACTGTTTCTTTGCAGTTTAGTTTGAATGAAACGATTAGACCTGCACGAAGCCATTTACAATCGGATCGAATTTTTGATTGATAAGTCTATTGTTCAAGAAACGTTTCAAAGAAAGGAAAGATTTCTTATCGCCGGAATGTGCTCAAGTGCGAAAAACTCGAATTTAGATCGAGGCTGACAAAAGTCTTGTGACTCATAGATGTGGTTTTGTTGAAGGTTGTTCTGATTTAGTTGATTTTGACCCCGTCAATCAACCAGCAATTTCGGATGAAAAGAAAAACAACAATGCAAAGCTCTCCAAGACATGCGGCCGAGAAAACTCCCAAGCGTTCATCTCAACACGAATTTTTCTCACCGAAGACAAGTCCAGCACTGGAACAAGGAGCTTCGCTTTCAATGCCGCATGGCGACTCGCCTGGAAAGAGCCCAAGTTCTGCCAAAAGATTGAAGAGTTTCTTTCAGGATTTGCAACGTGAATCGCGACATGCTCTTACCAACAAGAGGGCCAAGATTGCACAGTTATGGGAAGGGAGAAGATGGCGACGTGCGAGCTTAGAAGAAGTGGAACCGTTCGCTGAAATGGAAGAAAGGGAACTGTCTAGTTATGGAGCAACAGAGCCTAAAGAATATAATTATAACCACGAGGAAAATGATTCCAATCACCAAGGCATGAGTGAAGGACAAAAAAAGTTGCGACTTGTCGACAATCGGTGTTGATTTGAGCGAGGGCTCTGTTTTCGCGGATAAAGAGACAGACAGTTCATAAGTTTGGTGGATTGTATAATCTTGATTCAAAGAGGTCCATGCATGTTCTCATTGAGGTATCATTATATTATATTATTGTAACTTTTGTTTGAGACTAACAGAATATATTACAGACTATCCACGGGCTTTTTTTCACAATCGAATTAAATCTACTAAATGTACAGTTGTAATAAAACTATAGTTGACCTGGGAGTAATTTCCTTGACCGGTCAAACAAAGTATAAATTCAGGTTATTTTTTCGTATGAGGTCAGGAGTTATGAAGTAAGCGCACATGAGTGTGAGAGCAGTACTGGACTCGGCGCGTTTCTTCTCTTTTTACCGCTTTTTTTTGGAGAGCCCGGGACGAGTCAAAAAGCTCATCCGGAGTGATTTCTTGGGCAATTTTCAAATAGAATACCATAACTACAATGGATTTAACAACTGTTTGTCTTTCATAAGAAGGTTTTTGCCTCATAACAGAGTCTGTGCATGTAGTCATGCGTTTATAGCTTGTTAGTTCGAAAAGTCAAGACCCTGCCTGTCTCGCACCAACTTAGTCAACAGCGCCTACGTCCGCCTGCGTCCGCCTGCGTTAATCGCTGCATGCAACCTCCAATTTCGTTCCCATACCCTTCCGGTTACCCTTTTCAATCCAGCGGAAAGGGCAAGGATTGCCTTAACCTCTGGAAACGAAGTTGGTCTCACAAAGTTCCAATATCCTATTGTGCCGGGGAAGCGCACGTAACATATGAGATAGCCCGGGGGGTGCAACACAACTATGTTCCGCCCATTAGGGTATAATTTTTGAGGGTCTCCAATATTAAATTGAGTATCATTTTTGGAGTTGTTAGCGTTTTAATCCCGGTGTGATCCTGAGATAAGGTACCAGTATTATATCAGCTAAAGTTCAATTGCGTAAATGCCCAGTTACACGAGAAACAAATCATCTGTTAACACTGAACTTTACCTAAGAGTAAATATTTGGAAAGACATTTAAGGAAGATTATCTGTTTTTCCGTTAAATTCTTAGTTTCTGTTTTTCCCTTAGACTGGGTCTCATTTTTTTTGGTTTGGGCCTTAAAAAGGCTATCAGTTTTCTTTTTGCCATCCTTGAATAGGGCCAGTTTCAAGACCCAGGGCGGCACACGTATCCACACTTTTTGGGAGTTTCCCGCGGGACTCGGGAGCTAGTATACTGTGGGGCTAGAATTATACGCTACGGTATTTAGAAATTTGCATAGTACAACGAGCCTGACTGGCAGGTATTAGGGAAAAAAGATGCATGAGTAGGCAGACTATGGGAGATAATTCCTCGCAGAGGTTGAAAACGAGAGTTTACCAAATTTAGACGGTCTCTAATTTCTCTCAAGTTCATGAATTATCGACAGATCTGAAAAGAATATTTCAGACTGGCATTACCAATGTATTAAATGTTTATTTTTTAAGCAGTGTGCTTTGTTTTATAACCTATGGACTCAAAAGTGTCAAGACGTTGTGGGATTTCTTTTAGCTTTATTTACAACTTGTATTTTACAGTAATTGGTCTTCATCTCTTTCGCATCACAACCTGTGTTCCCACCAAACGTTAACATGCAGGCATCGGCCTATCAAGAAGAGAACAAAATAGTAGAAAAATAAAATGATCAGCTAATTTTGGTCTAGGCAAAATCCTGAATTAGAAAACATTTAGGTTTAAGTGAAAAGAAATAGGTCAATGCTACACTTACACCCAAACCATTCACTAGCTATGTAAATGATCGGCTAGGCTTTCGTAAACGTAGTGTAGATAGATGTTCCAAGGGTATCCTTTGCTTACCTACGAAAGTTTTCCTTCGCCTGTGCAAGTTTTAAACGCACCAGGAAAGCTACCAGAACTTCAGCAACCTGCAGCAAAAAGGAGACATAATTTGTTTTGTATAACGTTGTTTTAGTGAGATGTTATGTTCTAACATCAACATGCTAGTGCGAAATCCAAAGGTGTAACCATTTAAGTGAAACCTCGACAGCAGTACTTTAGAACTTGCACATTCACATTAGATCTGTCGAAATCCGTGAAAAGAGTCCTTGGGTTCCAAACAAATCCCTTAAAAGGACAAAAATCAAGACGCCCTCAGCGTTTTAACGTAAACTGCTTCTAACCTTATCGGGGGCGTCTTCATGGACACTGTGCCCACATCGAGACAACACTTGCATTATAATCTTGATTCAAAGAGGTCCATGCATGTTCTCATTGAGGTATCATTATATTATATTATTGTAACTTTTGTTTGAGACTAACAGAATATATTACAGACTATCCACGGGCTTTTTTTTCAAAATCGAATTAAATCTATTAAATGTACAGTTGTAATAAAACTACAGTTGGCCTGGTAGTAATTTCCTTGACCGGTCAAACAAAGTATGAATTCAGGTTATTTTTGCGTATGAGGTCAGGACTTTTGAAGTAAGCGCATATGTGTGTGAGAGCAGTACTGGACTCGGCGCGTTTCTTCTCTTTTTTCCTTTTTTTTTTGGAGAGCCCGGGACGAGTCAAAAAGGTCATTCGGAGTGATTTCTCGGGCAATTTTCAAATAGAATACCATAACTACAATGGATTTAACAACTGTTTATCGTTCATAAGAAGGTTTTTGCCTCATAACAGAGTCTGTGCATGTAGTCATGCGTTTATAGCTTGTCGGTTCGAAAAGTCAAGACCCTGCCTGTCTCGCACCAACTTAGTCAACAGCGCCTGCGTCCGCCTGCGTTAATCGCTGCATGCAACCTCCAATTTCGTTCCCATACCCTTTTCAATCCAGCGGAAAGAGCAAGGATTGCCTTAACCTCTGGAAACGAAGTTGGTCTCACAAAGTTCCAATATCCTATTGTGCGGGGGAAGTTCACACGTAAAATATGAGATAGCCCGGGGGGTGCTCAAGTCACAAGTATGTGCCGCCCATTAGGGTATAATTTTTGAGGATCTCCATCATTAAATTGAGTACCACTTTCGGAGTTGTTAGCGTTTTAATCCCGGTGTGATCCTGAGACAGGATACCTGTATTATATCAGCTAAAATTCAACTCCATAAATGCCTAGCCTGTGTAAAGACGTCCCCCCTCCCTCAGACAAAAATCGGGAGAAGAGACGTCTGTGAATCGCCGTCGTTAATCGTGTTCCCGTTTCCCCGGAATGTTGGGGAAACGGGAGGGGGGACGTCTGTACACAGGCTATAAATGCCCAGTTTCTGACGACAAAAAAATCAACTGTTAAAACTGAACTTACCTAAGAGTAAATATTTGGAAAGACATTTAAGGAAGATTATCTGTTTTTCCGTTAAATTCTTAGTTTCTGTTTTTCCCTTAGATTCGGTCTCATTTTTTTGGTTTGGGCCTTAAAAAGGCTATCAGTTTTCTTTTTGCCATCCTTGAATAGGGCCAGTTTTAAGACCCAGGGTGGCACACGTATCCGAACTCATCTTTTGGGAGTACCCCCCGGGACTCGGGAGCTAGTATACTGTGGGGCTAGAATTATACGCGACGGTATTTAGAAATTTGCATAGTACAAGCAGCCTGATTGGCAGGCATTAGGGGAAAAAGATGCACGAGTAGGCAGACTATGGGAGATAATTCCTCGCAGAGGTTGAAAACGAAAGTTTATCAAATTTAGACGGTCTCTAATTTCTCTCCACTTCATGAATTATCGACAGATCTGAAAAGAATATCTCAGACTGGTGTTACCAATGTATTGAATGTTTATTTTCTAAGCAGTGTGCTCTGTTTTATCACCCATGGACTCAAAAGTGTCAAGACGTGGAATTTCTTTTAGCTTTATTTACAATACGTATTTTACAGTAATTGGTCTTCTTCTCTTTCGCATCACAACCTGTGTTCCAACCAAACGTTAACAGGCAGGCATCGGCCTATCAAGAAGAGAACAAAATAGTAGAAAAATAAAATGATCAGCTAATTTTGGTCTAGGCAAGATCCTGAACTAGAAAACATTTAGGTTTAAGTGAAAAGAAATAGGTCATTGCTACACTTACACCCAAACCATTCACTAACGATGTAAATGATCGGCTAGGCTTCCGTAAACGTAGAGTAGAGACGCACGTTCCAAGCGTATCGTTTGCTTACCTACGAAAGTTTTCCTTCGCCTGTGCAAGTTTTAAGCGCACCAGGAAAGCTACCAGAACTTCTGCAACCTGCAGCAAAAAGGAGACATAATTTGTTTTGTATAACGTTGTTTTAGTGAGATGTGATGTTCTAACATCAACATGCTAGTGCGAAATCCTAAGGTGTAACCATTTAAGTGAAACCTCGACAGCAGTACTTTAGAACTTGCACATTCCCATTAGATCTGTCGAAATCCGTGAAAAGAGTCCTTGGGTTCCAAACCAACCCTTTAAAAGGACAAAAATCAAGACGCCCTCAGCGTTTTAACGTAAACTGCTTCTAACCTTATCGGGGGCGTCTTCATGGACACTGTGCCCACATCGAGACAACACTTGCAACTGGAATTGACCTAAACACAATGAACATAGAAAATTAATATAGCGGCTGTTTACCACCGAGGAGGGAGGGAGATCGTTGAAGGCGAAACAACCTTTCGTTGGGTTTACATGCAGAAATTTCGGTCCGTGTGGTGCCCAAGTAGAGAAGGATCGAGAAAGAATTAAAAATAACGGACGAAACAAAAATGTAATTTGGGCCCTTCTGCTCTCACCTTTCTACCTTACAGCAGAATTATCACAATAATCAGATCGTGGTCACGCCAAACGAAAATTGTCGGTATTTATTGTCGTGATTAGCCACAGAACGAATCTTCTCCGGGCTGCGCTTTTTATGACGTTCGTGGCGGTTTTTAAGAGCATCCGGGGGACAAACTAGACAAAAATGGCGTCGGTTAGTACAATAGTACAATCTTTTTAGCGTAGGCAGTTTACATGGTGCTAGGATCTTGCTAGTACATCGACGAAGATCCTAGCGCTAGGGAAAAGTACAAGCCTTTGCATGTAAACCGAATACAGAAAACATATGACGCTAGGATGATCCGCCTTCGAGGATCTTCCTGGTGCTAGGATCTTTCTCTCTCCATCTAAACAGCCTTATATTCGCGGCATAACAGAACAAAATACAAATTTAACTTTTCTGCTTTTAGATAACATCTTAGTGTCATCATTCATTCCAAAGAAAACTAATTTAATCAACTCTTTCAATCAAAGATGGATTAATGTTACAATTCTAGGTAGCTATTATTATTAGGGAGCTTAAGCGGCGACGACGACGACGACAACGACACGACAACGAGAACGTCATAAAAACACCATAAAAGCAACAGGTTAAGATTAGCAAACCAACAACCTTGCACGTGCACCACGCTTTTTGTGCATATCTTCGCCGTCGTTGCGGGACTAGGCTGAATTAGCAACAGAACGGGAACGTCATATGACGACGGGAAAGCGCGCGGAAAGGACTAAACTCGACTTCCGGTGCCCAATTTGCCGCTCAGCCATTGGACAAGCCAGTTGTTTGATTTGCGCGCGCCGTCGTCAACTGACGTTCCCGTTCTGTTGTTAAATCAGCCTACTGTATCCTGGAGGACGTGAACACAACACAACGATTTTCTAGTTCCTTTTTAAAACTTTGATACAGTCCTTGGGAACTCAACTCCACACAAAATTTTTGAAAGAAAATTCAGAAAAATTGCCTGCGGTACAAACCTTGCATTTGACCTATGGTGAGGTCTCTGTCAAGACGATCGACACCTGAAAAAAAAGAAGGATCAGTCTTAGGGTATTCTGAAACTCTGAATGTACTTCAACTTAAATTTGCAACCTCGCTCCCAGGTTCCCTCATACTCGACCCTCCGAAGAGGAGGAGAGAGGCCGCCTGAGAACGAGGTTGCGTAAATTTCAACGTGTTTCCCGTGCAACCATGTCCCTTAAAACGGCTACGTCACGCTATTCTAGACAATTTCAGTAACGTGAATATAAATGAATTACCTGCTAAGATAAGAAGCTTTGGAACACGACAGGAGAGGAACAATTTTGACATGTCTTGAAACCAACCTAAAAGTTAAATCATAGATGATTATAATGTTGGCTCGTTAGTTTTAAACTGATTGAGCGAATACAATGTGCCTGCGTAGATGGTGTTTTATGAAGGATATTGGGGGAGCGTGCGCGAGTGACGAAAAGCTCGGCTTGTCTCGCTTTGCGCTAGCCTGCGAGAAAGCTCTCCATCTCGCGTGCCGCTCACGCGTGACTTCTCGCAAGATCCTCCAAATGGAGGGCATACTCGCAGGCTAGTTCCGCGCGTTCCTTTGATGCTCAATTCCTTGCTCGTCAGACAAAACCGCAAGCTAAGGATAATAAATACAATGTGCATCTGTATAACTATTTTCTATCAACTCCCAAAAGGGAGCCTTTTCCGTAAGTCACCTTTCCAAAATTGGTCCGTCTTGGACAAGTCAATTCTCCATTGAAATCTTTCTTTAACTTCCTATGGACAAAACAACAAACTGCCCTTAATTTTTTGGACGTTTAAGAGTTAAAGCCCGTGTTCATCTACCTCTGCCCTTCAGAATGATTGGAGGAGGAGAGACATCTGTGTATCGCTTAGCTGCTAATTCCGGACCACAGTTGGTTTCTGCCCGAATTACCTTGAGAGGAGGAGACACACGGGAGTATATTCGTTTCGCTGCAAATTTGTTAAGTCGTTTCGCTAACTGAACCCGTTATCACCCGTTTGTCTTTCATTCTAAATTGTTTTAAACTGTTTAATACAAAAAGTTGGTTGCAGCGAATCGACCTTATGATGCAGCGAAACGCCGACTTTGTAGAGAAACGACGGTAACTACAGTGCAGTCGAGATAGTGATGAAACATGTTCAGGAGGCGGGATTTTTGTGAAAAAAGAGCGGGAATGCACAGGAACCCCTTTCCAGATCCTACATTGCCACAACAACTTTTATGTTCTGCAGATGATTACTTTTACATAACGTGACGATGGTAAAGGTACAAATTTACATTACAGCAAAACACGAGTGATAAAGCTCACCGCTGGCTTGGAATCGGTGGTAGGGGTCTCTGATGTTATTTCAGGCGCGTCTGTTAGTGTTGTTTCTTGTGATTCTTCAGTTATTGCATCACAAAAATGTGACGGGGACGGTGAGCTGGATGGACATCTCTCTGTCTCACTTTCACAACTGCTGTTACATCTGTAAAATTATACAATGTTAGCCACAATGAGCCATCACGTTTGTAACACTGCACATATGCCATGCATGCACTTTTGTACATTCCAAACCTTGCAGTGTGCAGGATGTTCACCTGAGCCACTGGCAGAATAAAGTTCATTTCCTTTTCCTTCTTGAATTCACATTCTTTAAAACTTATCATAGTCTCCTTCGCAGCCACTTTGTGTGGCACTTATGCAATGCTGTCTGCCGAGTGAGGGCAGGGAAGGAGACTGCAATAAGTTTTAATGAATGAAAATTCACGTTATTAGTCATGTTTTAAATCCCATCCCATGATGATTGCTAAAAGCTCTATAGTATTACAAACAGTTTAAAGAATAACCAATGTTACCTCATTAACTGCCCCGCCATGGATACCCGTGCTGATTCCACATTGTGTATTTGACCACTTCGCACGCTGAAAAAAAAAATTAACTCACTTCAGTTGATTCAGTGGTCCAGAACTGTTACAGCCCTAAGTATTACTTAAGTGCCACCTAGCTATGATTGATATCCTCACCATGTTAATTGACAAAGCCAACATTAAACAGCAAGTCAGACATTGGGGGAAAATGGCAAAACAGTCCAGAACTATGCTCAAACAAGGCCTGGTGTTCCCTGGCAACTTTCTTTTGCCTGTGGGCAACAGGGAAATCTTACTTTTTGCTCAAATAATTCATAGATTCATAGCTTTGGGTACCCCACAAGTTTAGGAACAGTTATTCAGCCATCAAGTGTCTGTCAAACAAATGCTAGCAATAAGAATAAAATATCTACGGTGAGTGCGAAAAGAGGTTGTGGATTTCAGGTACAGCTTGGGCTACAAGTGTAGCAGCAGAGTAATATATCTTTTGTGGGTAAAATCGTTATCAGATTAAGCCAGCATTTCCTTTGTCTCTTTAGAGTATTTATGGATAGGAAATGATGAAATTCCTGATAATTCAAACTAACACTGGTTTAATCTGAGAATGGATTTTACCTACAACATATCCACATGGTGAAACAGCTACTTGTTCATAGCCATACAACTGCAGGGCCACCATAGATATAGCCTGGGTAGCATGGCACTTTTGTGTGTTTTTGTCGAGCTGGGTGCACGAGCAGCGCCCCAATCTCCTCGCGGTTTCTCTGCCCTTGCCTGCTTTTATAAGCTTTATTACTTAGCACCCAACCAAAACCGCCATACAACTGCAGGGCCACCATAGATACAGACCCATGTGGCTACATAATAACATGGGGAAATAGCTGGTAGCCAAGTGATCATGTTACTAGCAAAAACCAGGCTTAACTACATAGCAAGAATGAGCAGTGATGGACAACAGCTGTGCCATACCTCCATTCTATACCCTCTTCTAAAGAGCCAAAGGTAGATGGTCTACTTTTAAGAAATGTCTGCATAGATGAAAGAGCTTCCATAGCAGTACCTGGAAACAAAACAAATAGTTTCTATCGCAGTTTTTTCCACACTTGAAAAAACTCAAAGCTTGTGTATTGTTTTTATGTGGGATCTGCGTTAATAGCGTATTATTATGTAATTCATTTTCCTTTCCTTTTTTCTTTGCTTGCGGCCGTAAATCAGTATCGAAGGTAGAGTTGCTTAAAGATCAAAATTTGAAATCTCACTTGTTGCCTCTAATCATTCCCTACAGAAGTAGTGGGGAGAAGTTAATAAAATATCAAGCAAATTNAGGGCCACCATAGATATAGCCTGGGTAGCATGGCACTTTTGTGTGTTTTTGTCGAGCTGGGTGCACGAGCAGCGCCCCAATCTCCTCGCGGTTTCTCTGCCCTTGCCTGCTTTTATAAGCTTTATTACTTAGCGCACCCAACCAAAACTGCCATACAACTGCAGGGCCACCATAGATACAGACCCATGTGGCTACATAATAACATGGGGAAATAGCTGGTAGCCAAGTGATCACGTTACTAGCAAAAACCAGGCTTAACTACATAGCAAGAATGAGCAGTGATGGGCAACAGCTGTGCCATACCTCCATTCTATACCCTCTTCTAAAGAGCCAAAGGTAGATGGTCTACTTTTAAGAAATGTCTGCATAGATGAAAGGGCTTCCATAGCAGTACCTGGAAACAAAACAAATAGTTTCTATCGCAGTTTTTTCCACACTTGAAAAAACTCAAAGCTTGTGTATTGTTTTTATGTGGGATCTGCGTTAATAGCGTATTATTATGTAATTCATTTTCCTTTTCTTTTTTCTTTGCTTGCGGCCGTAAATCAGTATCGAAGGTAGAGTTGCTTAAAGATCAAAATTTGAAATCTCACTTGTTGCCTCTAATCATTCCCTACAGAAGTAGTGGGGAGAAGTTAATAAAATATCAAGCAAATTTATCTTGTGTGATCATGTCTTTAATTCTAATGACCACTCTGTTTTACAAAGCATTAATATTACAAGGAGAAATTTGATGCTTATCACTCTTAGGGCCTAAAGGATTAAGGTTTTTTACCTTCCACCACATCAATAACTGCCAGACCACTTAGAGATGGGCCCAACAATCCCTGAACTCCAACATGGACAGCTATTGCTCCACCCATGCTGAAAAATATACACGGAAATGAATAAAATATTATAATTGTCACCAGAAAGAAAACATTATGATGTGCAAACATGCTCTCAAGTTGAGGGATATCATGAGAAGTCACATGCAAGCAGCATGCAAAAGAAGACACGAGAGAGTCTCCATTTTTCCCCCTCCCAGCTTTGCAGCTCACAGGTGCAACTGGCTTCATTTGCAACCTCACAAAGAAGAAGTTGCTCACAGGGTTAAATTTCATTTGAATCTTGTGTAAAAAACCAGGGTTCCAGTTTTCCGTGTCTGCTTTTCATAAGTTTTTAAAAACCTGGTTTAAGTACACATGTTTAGTTGGTGTGAATTGGGCATAACTGACAGAAAAAAATTGTAATAATAACTTTAAGGTGTTCCTTGATGATGGCGCATCATTACATGTGGTTGTACATGATGACGTTATTTAGGATGAGTAGTATGTCTCTAGTCATACAAATGCTTACCTGTGGCCAACCAAAAGAATTTTCGGCCTTGAATCAACATCTTCATAGATCTTGTCTACAACATCTTTCACATCTCTAAAATTAGATCACAAACATAGTAAAAAAGACTTAATAACCTCTGTTTCACAGCATGTTATTCATTTAAATCAAATTTGAAAGAGGTTTCTACTGGTCCTAACACCACCAAACACAACATTGGATCTCAGGAAGCTAATGAGGCTGCTTACAAATAGCAGTGGTAATAGCAGCAGATTGCACAAGGAGCCTTCCTTTTACTATTTTTTGTTTCTCAAAGGGAGAAAAAGTTTGTGTGCTAGATACTCCCTCATTGTTTTTCAATACTAATTTACATATCCAGAGGTTAGCTCACATACATGTTCTGATGATCTGAGGAAAGAAAATGACTGCTTGCAGTACAGAGTAGAAGAACAAAAAGTTTCCTTACACTTACTTTGCTAGGGTATCTGCTGATAAATTGTAATCATCCTCGGTCGTTGTGTCACCTTAAGGAATTAAGTATACTGCTGTTTACTACAATGTATATGTTACAGGTCAAAATTAAATTCAGATTAAAATTTTTTAACCTAGGTTGATTCTCTGTCTCGTTTAGTCTCCTAGCCTTATTTCATGAATAATTAGGGCTAGGAGACAAAAGAAATTGAGAATCAACCAAGAATAAAATATCTTAACCAGAATTTAATTTTTGCTTGTAACGTATACATAGTCTTCCTAATCATCTCCCACTAAGGACCATTGTTACTATGGCTAATTCCTTGATGTATGCCCCACACAGAAAGTCTATGCTAACTAGATTCTGACCCCTGATTTCCCTTGCTGCAAGATCTACCATCATCATCATCATCACAATCATCATCCTCAAAAAAAATTTAAAATGAGTAAACAACTTCACGCAAGTGCAATCAAACCAGAACAAGGATTCAGTGGTTCCTGGTATGGATTCGTCCAGAGCATCTTTTGCCTTTTCACCAGATAAGGGTAAAAAAGGCTTTGTATGATATTATGGGGGTTGATGTAAAACATTATTTTATTCACTGAAGCATATGAGCGACCAGTTAACTTCTCGGTAATTTTAACTTTTTACAATACTCACCATGACCTCTTAGATCTATTGCCACGATCTGACAATGGCATATTCCAGAGATCGCTTTCTGAAGGAAAAGAAATCTCCTGAGTTTAGGTGTACATATTAAGTTGTAAATACCTAATATACATTTAAATATATAACTGCACTTTTCTCCTTACATGCATTTTTGTATTAACCTTTGTGGTTATTCAATTAAGAATTTCATGAAATCTGGGATTTCTTTCAACTTAACTAATCAACAGATCGTCGACGCTTAAAATGTGTAAAAAAGTAATAACTCAGTGAGTCACGGAGTATAAACTTTGAATTATACTCACTGTAAAGACAGCCCATGATAAAGCAGAATGCCCTCCACCATGGAGCAACAGTAATAACGGTCCATTACTTCCAGCCTGGTAAACTCGAAATATCTTAAAACCACGTTAAGTAATTTTATTACATGTTGATTTTTAAATCGCAGTATTAAATTATGGAACCAAATATGTAAATTAATTCAGCCCAGTGACTTTCTAAACATGAAGACTTTAAAGAATAGTATAACTGACTTGTACAAAGATGAATTAGCAAATGTCTTTGAAGTTCATGGGGTCTTGCACGTAATTGTGAGTGCCACTATAGTTTAATACACATTTCTTAAGATTTTTACTGATTTAGTTGGGAAGTGCCCTGCATGGGAGGTCCCGTTTGCCCCTTACCTTTTGGCCTTTTTTTAGTATTATTTTTTTTCGTTACTGTAACTATTTATTGAGAGAGACTCAGACCAATAAAGTTCATAAAACAAAACAAAACAAAGTTTCAGTCTTACCTCTAACATCTCTAGCTTTGTGTTTATGCATGCACATTTACTTGTTCAAAATAAAAGTTTGAGTGCACGAATTTTGTAACAAGTCTGCATTCAGTAACAGAATAGTACATAAGAGTCTACCTCGATCAACGAAGAAAGGATACATTTTTTTCGCTGACCCGAACATCTCTTGAAGTTTCGAAATACCCTTCCCATGACAGCGGCGTGTAATCTCTCTTCCGGCGAATTCCTCCAGGAGCACTGAATGAGGGAAAGAATCAGATCAAACGGTATACAAGTCACAGAAAATTGAATTATTTATACTTACAAATTACTTTTGCCTGGCCGTTTCGGAGCAGAGGGTAAGCCGCCGTACTTGTTTTTCAACGCTTCTCTGCGATATTCCGACATCTTGGATTTTCTTTTTTTGGCGGAGTTTTGTAATCAGGTATCGCAGGCGCAAAAGTTTATTTTGATTTTGTCACCTTGTCACGCAACTAAAAGAGCCTAAAAGGGAACCAGGCGTGGACTATCATTCGTAGAAAGAAGAAGAAGAAGTATCAAGAAAGGAATATAAGGTAATTTACGTTTGTAAAGTCCTTTAGATATGCCCGTTTTATTAATTTAAAGCTAACAAAGCAACACAATAAGTCTCCCTGGAAGAATGGCTTTAACATGCTACACTTTGATACATGACATTGCATGACATGTTACAACCTTAGCGCGGTAAAAATATTCAAAACCTGCTCATACAGTATTCGTCTGCCATGAACCTCGAGCTCGTAACGACTACTTTTTTTCTTGTAAATTTTTGTGTGATAATTGCCACTGAAACGGCCAAAAAACCTCATATCTTGTTGATACTGGTTGACGATCTTGGCTGGAGCGATGTCGGTTTCCACGGGTCGAAAATTCGCACACCAAATGTCGACAAGTTGGCGAGCGATGGTGTCATACTGGATAACTATTACGTACAGCCTTATTGTTCTCCTACACGAGGCTCTCTTATGACAGGCCGATACCCAATACACACCGGTAAGATGGACCCAGCAGAGTCAGATGCAGGGCTGTGCGGTAAATAGACCTCTTTAGCGTGTATGTTTTGTTTCCAATTAAGGTCTCAGGGGAATTTTGTCCTTTCTCCTTTCATTATGTGTACGTGAATAAAAAGAAATTGAGGACTGAAATTTGAAAGGAACAGTTCTTGAGTATTATCACATGGCCTTCGGGAAAACAAAGCCTAGGTGCTAATGAGGTCTATTTTGATAAATTATCGATAATAAAGTTAAAAGTCAGCACTAGAAAGATCCGAGGCATTAAACAAATGTGCTCTGTTATTTTCATTCTTCTGTTGGTCAAAGAGATGCAAATGAGTCTGAGGTATTTTCTGCCATCCTTGCCAGCACTCAGAGACCAAGTTATACTCTCCCCACAGTCCCTCTCATCTTAATTTACTGGACTGGGAATAAAGCGAAAGGGCAAAAGTAGGACAATAATTATTGCACTATGGCGCCATTTTACTGCAACTACCAGAATGTTTCATTTTGTTGTTTTCTTGTGTAAATTAAGGCTATTTGTTTATTAAACCTCTGTGGGATTGACAAATTTAAATAAGAAACCAAAAATGAAATGAATTCTGGTAGTTTTAGTCAAATGTCGTCATTGTGAAAAATAAATGGCCTATAGGGCGAATAGTGCGAAAACTAGTACACAGCAGAAGCAAACTGCAAGACTTTTCTTGAGGCAAAAATACCAGTATATGATGATTTGAAGGGGAAGTTTAGTGAAGGGAGAGGGGAGGTCCTATGGTTAGATCCATGTTATGGCATAATGGTACAATAATTATTATTATTGCTGTCCAAACAAGGAGTTCAGATTGGAAAAGAAAACTAAGTACTGTAAAAATTATCAGAGATTAAAATTCATATTTTCTTGCAAGCTGAATGGTGTCATTATATGATCAATTTTCTGCTCTCTTTACAGAACTTTTAGATAATTTTAGTGCAGGTATATTTTGCTTCAGTGACAAGAAAGCCAGACTGAAATATCAACTAGGCAGTTTTTTTAGCCAGCCATACAGCATCTAGAGGAGATAACAACTACTAATGAACTCAGTATCAACACTCCTTAATTCAAAATTTGCCACATCACTGACAATAGACTCATAAAACTCAGTAATCCCCATATTTACTGGCAATTTTTTTTTCAATTGATACTTACCCCATATAGCGAATATGATCAGAAATATCTCTCAGGAATCTGTGGCTTGTTCACTTCTCTCCAAGATTTTGATAATATTTCTTAGCCAATAATCTCATCTTTTTAATATCCAGATATATTTCATCTTCAAGTTAAAGATCCATAGACCGATAGGCAGAATTAGTAAGGATGATGAGATTTTCACAACCAAAGTATCCCATCATATATCTTTTGTAGTTAATTTTTCATCTCAGGTAATTATTGTTTTTCTTTTCTTTTTGGGTATGGTAATTAAATGTATGCTAGTGAAGTTGAAACAAAGGAAAAATAAAACTTACCTGAGATAAGAAGTTAACTACAACATATCTTATTGCGGCTGAGCCTCCAAAGATATGTCTCTTTTTAGTAAAACTAGTGGTCTATTATCAATCTGCATTCTGATTGGTTGAGCTACTACTAGGCTATATGTTATAGCCCCTAAAGTAGCGAAAAGCACCGGCTTTGAAAACCTAAACAATGGTGGCTGAATCGCGTTTTGCTAGCTAAAGTTGTTTTGTCTTGATATTTTTGACCAACTATATTTAGTTGGTTGGCCTTCGGGCTCAAGGAATAATTGTTAAATATCATACTTTACCCTATAATTTCACCTACTTGTCTATTTTAATTTTACAGGTCTTCAGCATAGGGCAGTTCTATGTTTAACTCCTTTTGGCTTACCTCTACATTTTTCCACCCTTCCAGAAAAGCTACAAGAAGAAGGTAAGTAGTTTAAAGTACACCAAGTTTAAGAATTTCATGAAATCTGGGATTTCTTTCAACTTAACTAATCAACAGATCGTCGACGCTTAAAATGTGTAAAAAAGTAATAACTCAGTGAGTCACGGAGTATAAACTTTGAATTATACTCACTGTAAAGACAGCCCATGATAAAGCAGAATGCCCTCCACCATGGAGCAACAGTAATAACGGTCCATTACTTCCAGCCTGGTAAACTCGAAATATCTTAAAACCACGTTAAGTAATTTTATTACATGTTGATTTTTAAATCGCAGTATTAAATTATGGAACCAAATATGTAAATTAATTCAGCCCAGTGACTTTCTAAACATGAAGACTTTAAAGAATAGTATAACTGACTTGCACAAAGATGAATTAACAAATGTCTTTGAAGTTCATGGGGTCTTGCACGTAATTGTGAGTGCCACTGGCAACATTAGTTTAATACACATTTCTTAAGATTTTTACTGATTTAATTGGGAAGTGCCCTGCATGGGAGGTCCCGTTTGCCCCTTACCTTTTGGCCTTTTTATACTATCATTTTTTTTCGTTACTGTAACTATTTATTTAGAGAGACTCAGACCAATACAGTTGATAAAACAAAACAAAACAAAGTTTCAGTCTTTCCTCTTTCATCTCTAGCTTTGTGTTTATATTCATGCACATTTACTTGTTCAAAATAAAAGTTTGAGAGCACGAATTTTGTAACAATTCTGCATTCAGTAACAGAATAGTACATAAGAGTCTACCTCGATCAACGAAGAAAGGATACATTTTTTTCGCTGACCCGAACATCTCTTGAAGTTTCGAAATACCCTTCCCATGACAGCGGCGTGTAATCTCTCTTCCGGCGAATTCCTCCAGGAGCACTGAATGAGGGAAAGAATCAGATCAAACGGTATACAAGTCACAGAAAATTAAGTTATTTATACTTACAAATTACTTTTCCCTGGCCGTTTCGGAACAGAGGGTAAGCCGCCGTACTTGTTTTTCAACGCTTCTCTGCGATATTCCGACATCTTGGATTTTCTTTTTTTGGCGGAGTTTTGTAATCAGGTATCGCAGGCGCAAAAGTTTATTTTGATTTTGTCACCTTGTCACGCAACTAAAAGAGCTTAAAAGGGAACCAGGCGTGGACTATCATTCGTAGAAAGAAGAAGAAGAAGTATCAAGAAAGGAATATAAGGTAATTTACGTTTGTAAAGTCCGTTAGATATGCCCGTTTTATTAATTTAAAGCTAACAAAGCAACACAATAAGTCTCCCTGGAAGAATGGCTTTAACATGCTACACTTTGATACATGACATTGCATGACATGTTACAACCTTAGCGCGGTAAAAATATTCAAAACCTGCTCATACAGTATTCGTCTGCCATGAACCTCGAGCTCGCAACGACTACTTTTTTTCTTGTAAATTTTTGTGTGATAATTGCCACTGAAACGGCCAAAAAACCTCATATCTTGTTGATACTGGTTGACGATCTTGGCTGGAGCGATGTCGGTTTCCACGGGTCGAAAATTCGCACACCAAATGTCGACAAGTTGGCGAGCGATGGTGTCATACTGGATAACTATTACGTACAGCCTTATTGTTCTCCTACACGAGGCTCTCTTATGACAGGCCGATACCCAATACACACCGGTAAGATGGACCCAGCAGAGTCAGATGCAGGGCTGTGCGGTAAATAGACCTCTTTAGCGTGTATGTTTTGTTTCCAATTAAGGTCTCAGGGGAATTTTGTCCTTTCTCCTTTCATTATGTGTACGTGAATAAAAAGAAATTGAGGACTGAAATTTGAAAGGAACAGTTCTTGAGTATTATCACATGGCCTTCGGGAAAACAAAGCCTAGGTGCTAATGAGGTCTATTTTGATAAATTATCGATAATAAAGTTAAAAGTCAGCACTAGAAAGATCCGAGGCATTAAACAAATGTGCTCTGTTATTTTCATTCTTCTGTTGGTCAAAGAGATGCAAATGAGTCTGAGGTATTTTCTGCCATCCTTGCCAGCACTCAGAGACCAAGTTATACTCTCCCCACAGTCCCTCTCATCTTAATTTACTGGACTGGGAATAAAGCGAAAGGGCAAAAGTAGGACAATAATTATTGCACTATGGCGCCATTTTACTGCAACTACCAGAATGTTTCATTTTGTTGTTTTCTTGTGTAAATTAAGGCTATTTGTTTATTAAACCTCTGTGGGATTGACAAATTTAAATAAGAAACCAAAAATGAAATGAATTCTGGTAGTTTTAGTCAAATGTCGTCATTGTGAAAAATAAATGGCCTATAGGGCGAATAGTGCGAAAACTAGTACACAGCAGAAGCAAACTGCAAGACTTTTCTTGAGGCAAAAATACCAGTATATGATGATTTGAAGGGGAAGTTTAGTGAAGGGAGAGGGGAGGTCCTATGGTTAGATCCATGTTATGGCATAATGGTACAATAATTATTATTATTGCTGTCCAAACAAGGAGTTCAGATTGGAAAAGAAAACTAAGTACTGTAAAAATTATCAGAGATTAAAATTCATATTTTCTTGCAAGCTGAATGGTGTCATTATATGATCAATTTTCTGCTCTCTTTACAGAACTTTTAGATAATTTTAGTGCAGGTATATTTTGCTTCAGTGACAAGAAAGCCAGACTGAAATATCAACTAGGCAGTTTTTTTAGCCAGCCATACAGCATCTAGAGGAGATAACAACTACTAATGAACTCAGTATCAACACGCCTTAATTCAAAATTTGCCACGTCACTGACAATAGACTCATAAAACTCAGTAATCCCCATATTTACTGGCAATTTTTTTTTCAATTGATACTTACCCTAAATAGCGAATATGGTTAGAAATATCTCTCAGGAATCTGTGGCTTGTTCACTTCTCTCCAAGATTTTGATAATACTTCTTAGCCGATAATCTCATCTTTTTAATATCCAGATATATTTCATCTTCAAGTTAAAGACCGATAGACCGATAGGCAGAATTAGTAAGGATGATGAGATTTTCACAACCAAAGTATCCCATCATATATCTTTTGTAGTTAATTTTTCATCTCAGGTAATTATTGTTTTTCTTTTCTTTTGGGTATGGTAATTAAATGTATGCTAGTGAAGTTGAAACAAAGGAAAAATAAAACTTACCTGAGATAAGAAGTTAACTACAACATATCTAATTGCGGCTGAACCTCCAAAGATATGTCTCTTTTTAGTAAAACTAGTGGTCTATTATCAATCTGCATTCTGATTGGTTGAGCTACTACTAGGCTATATGTTATAGCCCCTAAAGTAGCGAAAAGCACCGGCTTTGAAAACCTAAACAATGGTGGCTGAATCGCGTTTTGCTAGCTAAAGTTGTTTTGTCTTGATATTTTTGACCAACTATATTTAGTTGGTTGGCCTTCGGGCTCAAGGAATAATTGTTAAATATCATACTTTACCCTATAATTTCACCTACTTGTCTATTTTAATTTTACAGGTCTTCAGCATAGGGCAGTTCTATGTTTAACTCCTTTTGGCTTACCTCTACATTTTTCCACCCTTCCAGAAAAGCTACAAGAAGAAGGTAAGTAGTTTAAAGTACACCAAGATTGCATGAGCATTAGGTTAACGGAGCATCTCTATCTTTCGTGTGTTTACTTCAGCAATCATCTGCTTCATAAGTTAAGTTCTTCAGCTTCCCATCACACCCCGCATGTCACCTGGGTGAGATTCAACAGAGATGATTTGGAATAATTCAAGTCCAATATAGAGGAGACATTGTTTCATCACATTGCCATGGTATGTCTGGATCTCAACAAGCCCTGGTCTTGCGGAAAAAAAAATGGACAGGTATGACTTACCTATGCACAATTATTGCACTCAGGAACCAAATGGTAGCCTGTGACTTTTTTCTGTCGTCTGACAGTCCAAATGACTGTCTCTGTCAAGAAAGATTGTTGAGTTCCAGAAATTTTGCTACCATGGTAACCTGCAGTGGCAGATCAAGACCTTCAGATAAAAGGGGGGGGGGAGCAGTCATCCAGACCCTGAGATAAGGTGGGGGCTAGACTAAAAAAAAATTTTTGTCAGTCCTTCGGGCCTCAGTTTGGTCGAAAAATAAGGGGGGGGGGCCAGCCAGGCCCTTCCCCTGGATCCACCACTGACCTGATGTCACACTTCTCCTCCCTATGGTCTTTGGACAGTAGAGGGATAAAACTTAAAGCACCTCAAGCAACGTTAATAAAGCTTGCTATGACAAAGATGTCTGCTTCATTAATATACCTTTGTACCTACAGGTTATAGAACCCATATCATCGGAAAATGGCATCTAGGACATCACACATCAGCGAGCCTTCCAACAAATCGAGGCTTTGACTCATTCTTTGGATTTTGCAATTATGGACGTGATCACTATAATCACACCCACGATGGCTTCCTGGACTTCTTCAGAGGAGAGGAAGTGACAAGAGAATATCATGGACAGTACTCTACACATCTATATGTAAAGGTAATACGGTCAAACCCGGCGTTAATTAACAGACACTGAAGGGGCCATAGAAAAAAATAAGAGAAAATAAAAGAGTTTTCTTTCCCCAGGGACAAAGCAAACTGTCCATAATAATGAGGTGTCCGTATTAAGCGCTTGTCCCGCCCATAAAGGGGGGTTTGATAGACCTATTCGTCTTACTCAATGTTGTACCCAATTCAAACCCTTTGGGAATAAAACGTTTTGTTTCAGGAATTTCCAGATCATTTAAATGTGAATGGCACATTATAATGCAAATACAATACACAAAGAATCTTATCCCCGGGAGATTTGAATTGGGTAGAACACTGAGTTAGCCGAATAGGTCTATTGTCATGGAACATTTATTAAAATGTCGAAATTGCCTTTTGTACGTATTTAAAACTGCGAAGAAGGTTCGTGTGGTGACCCTTTGGTGCAATGTATTGTTATTTTTTGTAGCAACCTCTTGAAAAGTGCAATAAATGAAAAAATCTAAAAAAAAAATCAGTTAGACATCTGACATTTGCGTCTCAAAAAGTTGTGAGTCTGTACACTTTACAACAGATATGAAAAAGATGGTAATAAATGATCGAAATGGTGGGTTTATATGCGTTCTTTCTTCATGAAATCAGGAAGCCAATAGAATTATCGCAGAACACAATTCATCTACGCCGCTGTTTCTTTACATGGCGTTTGAGAACGTCCACGACCCGATTCAAGCGCCTGACGAATATCTGAGAAAATACAAGATTATTAAAGATAAAGAAAGAAGAGGCTACGCTGCGATGATGGATGTAGTTGATGAAGCTATTGGGAATATAACGGCGGCGTTTGAAGAAAAAGGGTAAGGAAAAGTCATGTCGTTTATAATGTGATTGTTTTTTAAAAGGAAAGAGTTATTTGAGTTTAGCTGTGGAATCAGTGAAGCTTTTGCGTTTAAATGCTTATGGTTACCACGAAAAATTTGTGCCACGTGTTCACCACGTGCTCGACGACATGATTTTCCCGCCATTTTTTCATACCGTTTGTGATTCGTAAATTCTTATTTTTGAAATTTTTAATCTTAAGGTTAATTGAAAAGTTTGTTTTAGTTCAGAAGTCGCAGATAAAGTCAGAAGAGTGATTAAAAAAGTAATAAATTGACGGTAGAATTATTATTGCCAGAAGACTGGCAAAATTCTCCGAAATAAGCACCCGGTCTAAAACGTTTTTAAATCCTACTGATTCATAAATTGTGTTCAGTCATTGTGCTGTATTTTACTTTTCTTCATTGAGTTTCGTACAGTATGTGGAAATTTGAACTGTGCGCATATTTTTCACAACGGATCGCAAAATGCAAGTTCACATTGCTGAAGAACATTTTTTTTGTACAGCCTTCGAGACCTAATATAGCGGTTTTTAATTGACTTTCAAAGACAATTAAATTTCTCGCGCCAATTCTTTTATAGAGTGCTCGTAATAATTTTCGCTCACAACTTTTGACAGACTTAAGCTAACGATTCTTTCAGGAAATTCGTACAAAATGCTAAAAAAAACTTAGCCTCTTTCTAGATCTGACTTTTCAGTAACGGGGGTGCATATGGACTGGGCAAAACTAAGACAAGATGGTTCTTCATGAATTTATTTTCAAGATTTCAACTTGTTTAAAATATCACTTCTTTGTTGTTGATCCTCAGGTTATGGAATGACACACTTGTGATATTCAGTTCGGATAATGGAGGAGATCCTGTCAATAGAGGCTACAACTACCCCCTGCGTGGATACAAGAGAACCCTGTGGGAGGGAGGGGTGAGAACGCCTGCTTTTGTTTATGGAAAGATGCTTAAACAAAAAGGAGTGATCGTCAAGGAATTAATTCATGTCACAGATTGGTACCCAACTCTCGTCCGTTTAACAGGTCATTGAAACTACTTCATAAACTAGTTAACGTAACTTTAAGCAAGATTGATCAAGCGCACTGAAGCTTCATTTTAACATCTTTACACTAACAAATCCCACGGAACAACTTATCATAAGAAGTCGATCCACACAAAGGGCCAAAGGGCATTCGGCAGGTAATTAACTCTTTTCAAGAGTTGGCTATCGAATGGATTTGTATCAGTCCAGTAGGCAATTCGTGAGAGGAGCCCCCTTCTCCCCCCACCCCCCTCTCCCCCGCCGGTTCGGGTAGGAGGTGACTCGGCATTCCCCACTCCAGACGAGAAGTGGGTAGTCGTGCGTACGCGCGCAAGTATGTCTTGCGAGGAGGCTCGACGAAAAACGCTAGAATTAATAACAGGTATACTCTTTCTCTCCTTTCTCTTTAGGCTGCCGTTCTAACAATAAATCACTATTCGCCACTCCATCAGTGATAGGGAGAATGGACACAAGCTGTCGGCGCGACGATTTGTGGGATCTTTGCATGGACAAGCGCGTTTTATGATCGGTTACTAATGCTTTTCCACCCATGCTATCCCATAAATCTTCGCACCGAAGGCTTGCGCCCTTTCTCCGTGAAAATTTATGGAATGAAAATTGGATAGGCTCATATAGGCTATCTTCAACTAATTTCTAAGGTGGTACCATGGACTCTGGTGATATTCCAGTAGACGGCTTTGACGTTTGGGACACCATTGCAAAGGGAGCACCTTCACCCAGAACTGAAATCCTACTAAATATCGATTTTCGTGAGAAAAGGCCTGGCCTTCTTCTGACCTATGACACGTGGTACACAGGAGCGGCAATTCGTGTCGGCGACATGAAGTTGTTGATGCATGTCCCCAATGCCACTTGGTACCAAACGCCAGAGGATGGCGGGATTGCCCCACAGATGGAAGACATTTGGGTAACAGCGTGATAATTCATTCCCCCGTCCCCCCACCCCGCGACCTTCTGCCCCCCTACCACTACCACCCATTTTTCTTTCTTTACTACAGAAGATTGATCACCCGTTACGATTTTAACCTTAGGGATTACCACACTGTAGAATGTTAAATGGTTAATCGAGCAATTTAACGTAAAAACGTTTGAAAATTAGCAGGTGGAAGTAGACAGCCTTGAAATACAAAATATTAGGGTTTTTTTTCTCCTAAATGAAAAAAAAAACAATGGCTACTCGCAAGGCACGAGGCGGGGGTGTGTTTCTTTCAGACTAGCAAACCTCATAAAACCTGGCAGCTCCTTTCTGGGTCTTCTATTAAGTCTCACTCTCCATATTCCACATTCGCTCCCGTTTTTTCGTTTGAAGACTTTTTCGTTTTCGTATGAACAACATAAAAATTCAGTCAACTCTCTTTAAGACGGACACCTTCGGGACCGGCCCGACTGTCCGTCTTAGAGAGGTGTGCGGCTTACAGAGAGTCGAGATTAACGTGACACCAGATATTATAAGAGAATAAAAATGAACCCATTCGCAATGAACACACTTCTGTTCACCTTGTACTAGACAGCAAAAACTGGAACATTGTAACAGAAAAGTGGAATCATTTTCTCATCGTTCAATGCACATTGCACATCACTTTGTACGACTTGCTGTTTAAGCTCGGGGGGGGGGGGGACTCCCATATGAAACAGACGGGGATGCTCGTCGGAAATTTGGAATTTAACCCGTAAAGGAGACCATCTGGGCTTGACTCAAGCTTTTTGTGACCCCTAAAGGACACCAATCTGGGCGTGGCTTAAGCAAATTTTGACCCCTAAAAGAGACCGCTTGAAAACACACAAATACGACATGCAATGAGTTTTAATGATATAAAGACATAATCATCGAATGCTTTTATCTAAAAGTAGTTTTAAAACCATTGTCACAGAGGTAATGCGGTAAACATAACAACTAAAAAGACAATTTGACTTCTGTTTCTCTTCGCGTAATTCTGTGTTTCTTCGCGGAACCCTAAACGAGACCTTGGCGCCTTAAAATATTGGCGCTTTGCCCGGAACACCCTAAGCGAGACCAAAATCCAAAATTTACACCCCTAAGCGAGACGACGAGCATCCCCGTCTGTTTCATATGGGAGTCCCCCCACCCCCCCTGGTTTAAGCTGCAAAGGAGAAATTTATCAGCATAAGTCCTTTATGTGTTTTTGACTCCTTCTTTCTCTGTTTCTCTCTCAGGATCAAAAAACAAACATTGTAGAATTGGCTCTTTTCAACATATCCGCTGATCCGACTGAACGACACGATTTAAGCCACAGACATCCTGATATTGTGCGGCAATTAAAGGCTCGCATACATGAATATCAGAAAACCGCTGTTCCACCCGGAATCGTACCAGATGATATAATGGCATTAGTTTTTGCCATGAAAAATAAAGCTTGGGTACCCTGGAGAAACACCTGCAATGCGAGATGAATTCAGTGTTATTTCAACCAAGCTTTTGCTAATAGTCATTACAAGAACTTCTCGAGCCCAGTGTTGTGGATGCGTGGCACAGGGCACTGGAGTTCACCAGAACAACCATAAGTGTACTGGGGTATTAGACAGTCAGCAAGTGTTGACACGTTTATTGAACGTAGGTTAATCTGACTATTTAAAGCACTTGCGGTGAAAACTACGAAAGGAAATTTCGAATCTCACAGAGAAAAGAAGATAAAAACTACTAGCACAAGTTACATCCGATATTGGCTCCATAAACACCTACTAATTATGAAAAAACATAGGCACGTTTAACGTGCATGAGCTATTTTGAATGCTTATGTGTAACCGTCGTACCAAGAATCTACTCTTGTCACGTTAAATTTTAGACTTGTTCGGGTATTGCTATGAAAGTAGTAAAAACGACTGAAAACGCGAAACGTTGTGTACAGCTGAGTCAATTCTGATGCTATAGATTCACTTTTCTTCGTCTTTCCTTCAGACATCTTGTGCAATGAATATCAATATCACTTTCAGTACTGAAGCACACACTACCAACTCCGTGATATGAGCAGTACCTTGACATGCGCATAGCCATATCACCCGGGCAGTGGCAGTCATGGACAGCTATTTTTGTCCTCATTAGGACTCATCAGTATGGCATATCCCCAGGCAAGAGGTCTCACTTGGCATCATCGACGCCGCTGTTTACTGCCGAGGTTAGTGCAAACGCCAGCCCCACCGTATACATGTGGTAGCTGTTTGCCGGGAACTTTAAAACAGTTCTCTCACCTGGGGCTAAGCCATGCTGCCGAGTCCTAATGAGGACGATACAGCTGTCCATGGCTGCCACTGCCCGGGTGATACGGCTGTGCGCATGCGTAAGGTACTGGTCATATCGCGGTGTTGGTAGTATGTGCTTCAGTGCTTATAAAATAACTATTTCAGCGTCGATGTCTTTAGTTTTACAGTAAGCGTATCTGACTATTGTATAAAATACCGAAGCTACACAATATTCTAGTGTGACAGCTTTGTGAATTATTTACATATTGAGTCGATAGAGAAGTTGAGAGGGTAGCTTAATTAGCCTGAATTTCATCTGTGCTCCTCGAGTGGCAAACTCCCAAGATAGTCTCTCTCAGAAGTCTGCAAAACAAGGAGACGGCTGAAATACTGCAGGCTAGGGTTCAATTTCACGTATTTGATCTTTCTTGAGGCAAGGACAGTGTAGAGTACTAATAGCCACAAAGGCAAATAAAACCGAACGCTTTATTCGTTCATCTGCTCTGCTCGACACCAAGTCAACTCACTCACTCAACGCCCGCTCACACTGTTCAGTTCCCGTATGTCCTGCACGTACAACCGCTGTATTGTCTATTTTAATTTTACAGGTCTTCAGCATAGGGCAGTTCTATGTTTAACTCCTTTTGGCTTACCTCTACATTTTTCCACCCTTCCAGAAAAGCTACAAGAAGAAGGTAAGTAGTTTAAAGTACACCAAGATTGCGTGAGCATTAGGTTAACGGAGCATCTCTTTATTTCGTGTGTTTACTTCAGCAATCATCTGCTTCATAAGTTAAGATCTTCAGCTTCCCATCACACCCCGCACGTCACCTGGGTGAGGTTCAACAGAGATGATTAGGAATATTCAAGTCCAATGTAGAGGAGACATTGTTACATCACATTGCCATGGTATATCTGGATCTCAACAAGCCCTGGTCTTGCGGGAAAAAAAAATGGACAGGCATGACTTACCTGTGCACACTTATTGCACTCAGGAACCAAACGGTAGCCTGTGACTTTTTTCTGTCGTCTGACAGTCCAAATGACTATCTCTGTCAAGAAAGATTGTTGAGTTCCAGAAATTTTGCTACCATGGTAACCTGCAGTGGCAGATCCGAGACCTTCAGATAAAGGGGGGGGGAGCAGTCATCCAGACCCTGAGATAAGGTGGGGGCTAGACTAAAAAAACATTTTTGTCAGTCCTTCGGGCCTCAGTTTGGTCTAAAAATAAGGGGGGGCAGCCAGGCCCTTCCCCTGGATCCACCACTGACCTGATGTCACACTTCTCCTCCCTATGCTCTTTGGACAGTAGAGGGATAAAACTTAAAGCACCTCAGGCAATGTTAATAAAGCTTGCTATGACAAAGATGTCTGCTTCATTAATATACCTTTGTACCTACAGGTTATAGAACCCATATCATCGGAAAATGGCATCTAGGATATCACACATCAGCGAGCCTTCCAACAAATCGAGGCTTTGACTCATTCTTTGGATTTTGCAATTATGGACGTGATCACTATAATCACACCCACGATGGCTTCCTGGACTTCTTCAGAGGAGAGGAAGTGACAAGAGAATATCATGGACAGTACTCTACACATCTATATGTAAAGGTAATACGGTCAAACCCGGCGTTAATTAACAGACACTGAAGGGGCCATAGAAAAAAATAAGAGAAAATAAAAGAGTTTTCTTTCCCCAGGGACAAAGCAAACTGTCCATAATAATGAGGTGTCCGTATTAAGCGCTTGTCCCGCCCATAAAGGGGGGTTTGATAGACCTATTCGTCTAACTCAATGTTGTACCCAATTCAAACCCTTTGGGAATAAAACGTTTTGTTTCAGGAATTTCCATATCATTTAAATGTGAATGGCACATTATAATGCAAATACAATACACAAAGAATCTTATCCCCTGGAGATTTGAATTGGGTACAACACTGAGTTAGCCGAATAGGTCTATTGTCATGGAACATTTATTAAAATGTCGAAATTGCCTTTTGTACGTATTTAAAACTGCGAAGAAGGTTCCTGTGGTGACCCTTTGGTGCAATGTATTGTTATCTTTTGTAGTAACCTCTTGAAAAGTGCAATAAATCAAAAAATCTGAAAAAAAATCAGGAAGACTTCCGACATTTGCCTCTCAAAAAGTTGTGAGCCTGTACACTTTATAACAGATATGAAAAAGATGGTAATAAATGATCGAAATGGTGGGTTTATATGCCTTCTTTCTTCATGAAATCAGGAAGCCAATAGAATTATCGCAGAACACAATTCGTCTACGCCGCTGTTTCTTTACATGGCGTTTGAGAACGTCCACGACCCGATTCAAGCGCCCGACGAATATCTGAGAAAGTACAAGATTATTAAAGATAAAGAAAGAAGAGGCTACGCTGCGATGATGGATGTAGTTGATGAAGCTATTGGAAATATAACGGCGGCGTTTGAAGAAAAAGGGTAAAGAAAAGTCATGTCGTTTATAATGTGATTGTTTTTTAAAAGGAAAGAGTTATTTGAGTTTAGCTGTGGAATCAGTCAAGCTTTTGCGTTTAAATGCTTATGGTTACCACGAAAAATTTGTGCCACGTGTTCACCACGTGCTCGACAACATGATTTTCCCGCCATTTTTTCATACCGTTTGTAATTCGTAAATTCTTATTTTTGAAATTTTTAATCTTAAGGTTAATTGAAAAGTTTGTTTTAGTTCAGAAGTCGCAGATAAAGTCAGAAGAGTGATTAAAAAAGTAATAAATTGACAGTAGAATTATTATTGCCAGAAGACTGGCAAAATTATCCGAAATAAGCACCCAGTCTAAAACGTTTTTAAATCCTACTGATTCATAAATTGTGTTCAGTCATTGTGCTGTATTTTACTTTTCTTCATTGAGTTTTGTAAAGTATGTGGAAATTTGAACTGTGCGCATATTTTTCACAACGGATCGCAAAATGCAAGTTCACATTGCTGAAGAACATTTTTCAGTGTTCAGCCTTCTAATATGGCGGTTTTTAATTGACTTTCGAAGACAATTAAATTTCTCGCACCAATTCTTTTATAGAGTACCAGTAATAATTTTCGCTCACAACTTTTGACAGACTTAAGCTAACGATTCTTTCAGGGAATTCGTACAAAATGCAAAAAAAACTTAGTCTCTTTCTAGATCTGACTTTTCAGTAACGGGGATGCATATGGGCTGGGCAAAACTCAGACAAGATGGTTCTTCATGAATTTATTTTCAAGATTTCAACTTGTTTAAAATATCACTTCTTTGTTCTTGATCCTCAGGTTATGGAATGACACACTTGTGATATTCAGTTCGGATAATGGAGGAGATCCTGTGAATAGAGGCTACAACTACCCTCTGCGTGGATACAAGAGAACCCTGTGGGAGGGAGGGGTGAGAGCGCCTGCTCTTGTTTATGGAAAGATGCTTAAACAAAAAGAAGTGATCGTCAAGGAATTAATTCATGTCACAGATTGGTACCCAACTCTCGTCCGTTTAACAGGTAATTGAAACTACTTCATAAACTAGTTAACGTAACTTTAAGCAAGATTGATCAAGCACACTGAAGCTTCATTTTAACATCTATACACTAACAAATCCTACAGAACAACTTAATTTCATAAGAAGTCGATCAACACAAAGGGCATTCGGCTGAACTCTTTTCAAGAGTTGGCTATCGAATGGATTTGTATCACCGAAGGCTTGCGCCCTTTCTCCGTGAAAAATATGGTGTGAAGAATTGAATAGGCCTATATAAGCTATCTTCAACTAATCTCTTAGGTGGTACCATGGACTCTAGTGATATTCCAGTAGACGGCTTTGACGTTTGGGACACCATTGCAAAGGGAGCACCTTCACCCAGAACTGAAATCCTTCTAAATATCGATTTTCCTGAGAAAAGGCCTGGCCTTCTTCTGACCTATGACACGTGGTACACAGGAGCGGCAATTCGTGTCGGGGACATGAAGTTGTTGATGCATGTCCCCAATGCCACTTGGTACCAAACTCCAGAGGATGGCGGGATTGCCCCACAGATGGAAGACATTTGGGTAACAGCGTGATAATTCATTCCCCCGTCCCCCCACCCCGCGACCTCCTGCCCCCCTACCACCACCACCCATTTTTCTTTCTTTACTACAGAAGATTGATCACCCGTTACTATTTTAACCTGAGGGATTACCACACTGTAGAATGTTAAATGGTTAATCGAGCAATTTAACGTAAAAACGTTTGAAAATTAGCAGGTGGAAGTAGACGGCCTTAAAATACAAAATATTAGGTTTTTTTTCTCTTAAATGAAAAAAAAAAAAACAATGGCTACTTGCAAGGCACGAGGCGGGGGTGTGTTTCTTTCAGACTAGCGAACCTTATACAACCTTGCAGCTCCTTTTTGGGTTTTCTTCTATTAATTCTCCATATTCCACACTCGCTCCCGTCTTTTCGTTTGAAGACCATTTCGTTTTCGTATGAACAACATAAAAATACAGTCAACTCTCTTTAAGACGGACACCTTCGGGACCGGCCCGACTTTCCGTCTTAGAGAGGTGTTCGGCTTATAGAGAGTTGAGATTAAAATAACACCAGATATTATAAGAGAATAAAGCTGAACCCATCCGCAATGAACACACTTCTGTTTAACTTTTACAAGACAGCAAAAACTGGAACATTGTAACAGAAAAGTGGAATCATTTTTCTCAGTTTTCAATGTACATTGTGCATCACTTTGTACGACTTGTTGTTTAAGCTGCAAAGGAGAAATTTATCAGCATAAGTCCTTTACGTGTTTTTAACTCCTTCTTTCTCTCTTTCTCTCTCAGGATCAAAAAACAAACATTGTAGAATTGGCTCTTTTCAACATATCCGCTGATCCGACTGAACGACACGATTTAAGCCGCAGACATCCTGATATTGTGCGGCAATTAAAGGCACGCATACATGAATATCAGAAAACCGCTGTTCCACCCGGAATCGTACCAGATGATATAATGGCGTTAGTTTTTGCCATGAAAAATAAAGCTTGGGTACCCTGGAGAAACACCTGCAGTGCGAGATGAATTCAGTGTTATTTCAACCGAGCTTTCGCTAATAGTCATTACAAGAACTTTCTCGAACCCAGTGTTGTGGATGCGTGGCACAGGGCACTGGAGTTCACCAGAACAACCATAAGTGTACTGGGGTATTAGACAGTCAGCAAGTGTTGACACTTTTATTGAACTTAGGTTAATCTGACTATTTAAAGCGCTTGCGGTGAAAACTACCAAAGGAAATTTCGAATCTCACAAAAGAAAGAAGATAAACACTATTAGCACAAGTTACATCCGATATTGACTCCATAAACACCTACTAATTATGAAAAAAACATAGGCACGTTTAACGTGCATGAGCTATTTTGAATGCTTATGTGTAACCGTCGTACTAAGAATCTACCCTTGTCACCTTAAATTTTAGACTTGTTCGTGGTACGAAATCGGGTATTGCTATGAAAGTAGTAGAAACGACTGAAAACGCAAAACGTTGCGCACAGCTGAGACTAGTTTCATGCTATAGATTCTTTCCTTCAGACATCCTGGGGCAAACAAATTGTGATAGTACAGTGAATATCAATATCACTTTCAGTACTGAAACAGACACTGAAGTACACACTACCAACTCTGTGATATGACCAGTACCTTGACATACGCATAGCCATATCACCCGGGCAGTGGCAGTCATGGACAGCTGTTTTCGTTCTCATTAGGACTCATCAGCGTGGCATAGCCCTTTATCCATCTGCAGCCACCCTCACGCATTCAAAACACCACCTCTCCGTGGGCTTCTCATTGCCATTATGATAAATGGCACCTGTTGTGTCGGTTAATGCTTCCTTAGACTGAGTTTCAGTTTCGACAGTTTCCGTTGCCATTTTTACGTGAGCTTTAAATACATGCAGACGACCATGCAGACAGGATTTCTAGAACCAAACTCGTCGAAGTCTTCGTCGACGATAAATTGAATTTGAACATCGTTTTGATCGTTTAAATCTAGTGCAGCGTCATCTTGAAGAGCCGCCATTTTTAAATCGCCCGTTCAAAACGTTTAAATCGCAAAAATCTTCAAAACTGGTCCAAAAACAAGCTCAGTGGAGGAAATCTTCGAAAACAGTGAAGAAATACTTTTTGTTGTATTCCATAAAATGTACCATTAGTTTCCAGCCCTTAAGAACCCTCTTTCAAAGTCGCCCGATAGGGAGACAATTTTCCACGGGCGTAGAGGGAGGGTGAGTTTTCGGTGTCCGATTAACAAGTCAGCGGTAGTTTGGCAAAATGAAGAGAGAGTTCCGGTTAAATGATTGATCTTCCTGTCGGGACCCTTCCGGTCGACTCGTGACCTTATTTACTTACGTCAAATTTTCGCAATCTGGCGGGAAAACCAGAAAAGTGAGATCAAGGTTTTCAAGATCCTTCAAGCGACAATTATGAATTCCTCTATGGAAGAAGTAAAGGAAAAAGAGATTGCATTTCTTCAAAGAAATTTTTACAATGTTCGTTTTCCGGAGAATTACTGCTTTCCACAAATATTTTTCTGTGAATTCGACCTCGTTCATTCAAACATAAACAATATATACAGGGGGAGAATTGTTATTCAGTGATTACTTTCATGTATGAGGTAACCCTCACATAACTGTAATAAATCGTCATTTTAAGGTCAAAACTGAAAATCAGAATACTAGACCTCGGGCTGATTCAGAAATATCTATGTTTCTGTTGGTGTTGTAGCTTCGCAGCACAGAGCGTAAAAATACATCAATACAGCTTCAACGGGTACTCCGGATTTCAAGTGATGATCGAAGGATATTTTAGGGTTGTTGGAGGTTAATTTTTGGTCCATGGATTTTTTGGGTATTATTGAAGGTCCTAGGGATTTTTTTGGTTTTGATTTTTGCCCCAATTCAATCATCCCCGTCACCTGAAATCCGGCGTAACACCTCCTCCCCCCCCCCCCCCCCCCCCCCCCCCCCCCGGCACCAGCTGCCACCAACGCCACTCACCCACAACACCTCCCCCCCCCCCTACTTGCGCACCGCGCCGGCTTCTNCATTTATCATGTTAGTTAAGTACATCTTTAGTTTTTATTGATATACTATATTTTTATGTTGTTTTCGTGCTGTGGTGTGTTTTGTTTGGTCTCTAAGTGTTTGTCAGATGCGCTAGCTTATAAATACCCATAAATTATTATATTATAAATTTTATATATGCAAATGATTCCTTTCGTCAAGCTTACAAGATACAAACAAGCGTGGAGACTTGAAGAGAACGACAGTAAGGTAGTACAGTTGACTCCCGATAACTCGAACCTTTACAGCCAAACCAGGTCAAGCGTACCCCCCAAGAACCCATTATTCAAAAGTTGAATCCGTTGCTAGTTGTAGATTTCAGATTGATCTCTGCATTCTTGTATGTGTAATGAGCCGTGAATTCACACGCGAGGCAGTTATGAAATTTCTACCGGCTCCATTTTCCTGAAATTGATGTAAATGTCTTCTAAGAAGCTTAATCCACTCAAAGATTTCCAATCTGACCAAATACAGAGAAGTTCTCGTAAAGACTAGAGGATATTCACTGCTCATTACGCATGCAGAAATGCCGCTTTGAATTTGACACCAGTTACGGGAACGACTAACGGATTCATTTTTCAAATAATCAATTCACTGATAGAATCTTGAGGGGTACGCTTGACTTGGTTTGACTGTAAGGGAAATCGAAAAAAGTTCGAGTTATCGGGAGTTCGAAGAAAATAGCCGGAAGTGAGGTGAAAAACAGTTTTTACTGTACAGTGAACATTTTAATCACATTTTATTGTAGAAATGTTAAGTGAAAATTGAAAGATACTTTTAGATTATAAATCAGAACGTAACGTAACAAAACATAGCCTAAATGGAGTATGCGTTTTACTGTTTTGAGAGGTAAAGCTGCTTCTCGTTAGATTTGTGACAAACAACATCAGTGAGTCTCCACTAGTAAACTATATTCTACAACACGTCAATGGGACTTCAAAATCCAATGTTTGTTTTTTCCCGACTTTTTAATCGGTCAAAACATGCTTCGGGTTATCGAGGGTAAATTATATGGAAATGATCTGAGGGGAAACAAACATTACTTCGAGTTAGCGGGAGGTTCGAGTTATCGAGGGTTCGAGTTACTGAGGGTAAAATTAGAGTAAATGTATGAAGGAAATCCAAGGGAAATCGATTTTGGTTCGAGTTAGCGCGAGGTTCGAGTTAGCGAGGGTTCGAGTTATCGGGAGTCAACTGTAAGTCAATCGTACACTTCCGTCTTCCGTCTGAAAAGACACATCAGTCGATTTGTCAGATTACAGTGGTCCCAGAGTTTAAAAAATATGTAAAAAAAAAAAACAAACAGAAAAGCTACATATGACCATTAAAAACAACAACGAAGATGGACAGATACATTTCGTTAATGTTTAGCTTTAGCGAACAAAAGCGACCTTAAGGTGGCCCGTTCCTATTTATATGCGTGTTGGTTATGTTTTTGATTCGCGTTTTTCAGAATGAAAGATTCAAACGAATTCTACGATTTCTTATATCCTTAATAAATAATGATGGAACTTTAAGAAAATGTTTTTTATTTTCTTATAGGTATAAACACTTTTGATATTTTCATTTTTCGTAAAAATGAGGTTTTAAATATATGCCGATATCTTAAAAGTTTTTATACCTATAAGAAAATGAATAACATTTTCTTAAAGTTCCGTCATTATCTATTAAGGATGCAAAAAATCGTAGAAATCGGTCGAATCTTTCATTCTGAAAAACGCGAATCAAAAACATAACCAACACGCATATAAATAGGAACGGGCCACCTTAACATCATTTCGAAACATTGATCGACTACAATTTCATTGCTAAGTTCTCTACTGACGTTTAATGTAACATAAAATCGTCAGAATCGTCTTTCTTGAAAGTTCCACGAAGCGCTATAATGGGGCATACTTGTAGTTAGCGTTGTGAAATAACCGGCGGCATATAAGCATATAAGCTTTTCCGTCTTTTTGAGTTAACGCAATAACCCGTAAAAAAGTGGTCTATAAACTTCAGTTTGCTGCTTTTCTGGTATGTCTTTGCTTATGACTTGTAACTGTATAGAAGTTTACTGTAAATAATTGTGATGGAGGGAAAGTTAAATATCTATTATATATATATATATATATATTAAATCGGTATTTAGAAGTATCTGTTGGACTAGATATCTGTTGAAGATCTCTAAAATGGATAAAACTCGAAGATTTTGGAAGACTTCTCAAGCTTTCAGTAGATTACCGAAGCTCCCTTCGGGTGACTGGAAAAGGGAGGTGACGGGGAGACAAAATGATGATTGTTAAGATGGATCTGATGTACTCTGGTTAAAAAGTTTTAGAAATAGCGCTTTGTACAACATTATTGTTATTTATGTAAGGTGTGCAAGAAGTATTTCCGGCTGTTTCGCTGGCGTCCCGTGGTTTTTCAAGTATATTTTCTGGGTTGTACCGTTCGGTTCTTTGTAAGACGCGCGCTCACCATGATTGGTGTTGGACTAACTATTCCATGCGTGCCACCCCTATCCAGTAAAAATATTAAAAATGCGGTGTTAATTAGAAAGAGATCATTCCTTTCTGTTTCTATTCACAGTTCTCAGTGATGACCACTGACTGATGCTTATTGGAAATTTAAGATTTAAGTCCTTATAATTTGGCAGTAGCTGCTGGTCCGCTCTGCACCCTCTTCCCTTCCAGCCATATCAGTCCCTGTGACAAAAAGGAACTTTCATCACCAAATGCATAGCTCAACACAGACTTATGAAGGTAAACAGATGGGATCATTATCAGCAGCTGGCGAAAGGGTGTTATATAAATTTAATAAATAAAAATACGCCACTACGTGAGTCGAGGTAACTTAATGACTAGAACTAAACCCGTCTATCTCACGGCTACCTATTTCAGAGTAATGTTAATCCGTTCTAGTAACTCTCTTCCTGCCCAATTGATCTTCCTCCCCTTATTAGTCGTTTTGAAAATTATA